GTTATTTTACTTGATATAGGTTTTTAGCAGATTCTTAAGTGATGTTAGGATCAGATGATCATCTCAAAGAAGATTCATAAAGTACACATCTACAGGTGCTAGTGTCAGATTGATTTTTCCATAGATCGACGTTCTCAGATGTCTACTTGCAGGAACCGAAAAATGTACGTCTCTATCTCAGTTCATCCAGAAGAATAGTCCACATACACCAGTTTTTAAAGTGGACAGTAGTCCAGACATAGTGAGTAATGCTGCGAACATTTGTGCACATTTTTTATCTCAAGTATCAGGAAATGATCTTCGCACTACGAGCTATTTTTTCTGACAAAAGTTTTTTATTTCAGTCTTGTTAGTATTCAGAAAACTCACATACGAAAATCGTGCGTCATTTCGAGCATTTGAAACAAAAATTTATGGTGTTCGACATTAAAACAGTCATGAAAACTGATGTTTTTCATGCTAACAAAACTTCTTGAAAACGTGGCTTTAATATCACTTAGTAAGCTTTTTGTTCGATCCACATATGGGCATTAAATTTTTGCTTCATAGAGCAGAGCATTTTAGAAATAGTTACTGGAACAGGTCAATGGCGATCTCCAATGTTTTGTTCGTTGAGATATTTTTTTAACAAGTGAAAATAAGCAAACTTACCTCATATAATGGAAAAGATATTTTTGGTTTTTCTTTATTATATTCGATAATTGCATTATGTACAAGTGTTTCAACTCGTTTAAAATCTGTAACAACAGCATAATTATCTGTCAAATAATTTTGATTATCACGTGTCAAATTCGCCACAACCATTCCTATAAACCAAAACAAACTGACAATAAATAATCTCATATCTGAGTGGATGTACTTGAGACTAAGTACTACTTTTGCAAATTTTCAAAAGCACTTAATTAAACATTGGTAAAGTGTTTCTAGATTTAATACAAAGTACCCGGAAGAGTTTCGCATACATTTGTGCATGTCGCAAGCACTTATCAAATTATCTATCAAATACTTGATAAAGGTGGACCTCTTCAGGTACCTGTGTTTTGTTAAATTCCTTATAGATAGCTTTTTCACTTGTAAAAGAACTCTAGGATATTATTTTTCCAAGTTCTTGTACAAAAGTACATTCACTAGAGTATAAATATCAAAGTGGAAACAGCTGATTTTTGAGCTTAAAAAATCGGTTTAAATCGAAAATCGCTAAAATCCTAAAAAATCTCTAAAAATCGTTCAAAAATCGCTTATGATTTTATCGTTTTTTTCTTTACTTTCACATGTCTGATTCACATTTGGTACAAATAAAGCAGGTTACGCACTATTTCCCAATTCAACACTATTCCCACTTCCCAAACAAATCACAGGAAATCGGAAAAAATCGATGAAAATCAGTGAAAATCGGAGAAATCCTAAAATTAGCTGTTTCCTCCTTGATAAATATGCTTTACTTACCACTTTCTGTTACTTGTAAATTACTAAAATATTGGTTGTTCATCAATAGTACGTGTTGCTCATTGATAGTTGGAAAATATTTTTTGATGATAATTGCATATAATTGTCGATATCTTTCATAGTCAATTTTATCAATTAAACGTTTGCCATATAACCAATCACATTCATGATGCCAGATGTAAAATAGATCATCAAATTTACATTCAGGTGTAAGACTAATACACAAATGACGAAATAAAATGGTTAATTGTTTCATTGAAAATATATAATGTAAACGTTCTGATTTTTCAAAATAATATTTTGACATTCGTTGATTTAAATCAATTGTTGCACATACAATTCGTTCAATAGTTAATTTTAATCGTTTTAAACGTTTTATCATTGATGTACTCAATTTATCTTTTGTATTTACATTGGATGATGTTGCAGATGCACCATCGTTCGTTGTTGAACTAGTCGTTGTTGTGGCAACAGTAGTGGCAGTATTAATTCGAGTAGTACCTAACGGTAGTATGGCAGCTGATTGATCCGTATCCGGGGCTGTATCAATATTTTCAACATCACCAATGAGATGACGATTCAATAATTTGACAAAAATAGAAATGAGTTCATCTTCGGCTAATACAGGTATAGTTAAAATGTGAAAATGTTTTAAAAGTCGACGAGACAATTTTGATTTACAAACATTTTTATATGGATTAAATGTGACAACATAAATAATATTATCAATTTCTTGCCAATTATAATTGTCATATGAATAGAGACCACCAGAATCAAGATGTTGACGTAACAATTCGACTAACGATTGTTTTCCACTACGATCAACCTAATAAAGATAAAAAGAAAACATATAGAAATAAAGAATAAATGAATTTTTTTGTCTCTAATTCTTCTTTATACCTTTGCAAGATGAAGATCATCAATAAAACAGTACATTTTTCTATTTCCTTTTGTTGTATATTTTGAACCGTGTTTCCATGACAATTGTTCATTGATTTTTTCATAAACCAGTGCAGCATCCGTTACGCTAGAATATCATTTTTTCTTATTGTCATTCTATTGATCGGACTATTGTTCGTAGCACGTGCTTTGTAACTAAGGAAAAAGGCGCTCTATTTCCAACAGGATTTTGGTGCCTTTTCCCTAGTTACAAATGATCGATTTTACAACTCGTTTGCCATTGTTGTGCGCAAAGAGAGAACGGTCTTATCTTGTGGAGAATTCCTTTTTTCTATAAGCCTATGTCTTTCAAGAAAATTTTCGTTTCGGATTGAACAAATAGCCGTTTAGCACCGAGTCTCCAGTTGAGAAAACTTTTCGTCGACTAGGATTAGTCTTAAAAAGCGTGTTCGCAAATGAAAAATAAAAATGATGTTGCTTTTTTCCTTTTTGATCCTAAGCAGAGCAAAAAATACGTATCGCATCGTTTGAGTAAAATATTTAAAATATAGAATTGAAAAAAACGTCGTTTAAGAACAGTTTCATCAAATATACCTGATCTATGCAGTTTTCTTTCGTCTATCAAATGACGTATTTGGATTAGACTTTTATTTAGTTTTAGATTAAGAAATTCAATTTTTTCTATGTCTTGAGAGGACATTTCTAATTTTTTTAGAACTCTAGAAAGTTCCTTTTTCATTCATTTGTTTGTCAACCTGTAGCGCATTGAATTCTCTTTCGAATAGTATAAAAAGAGAAGGTTTATTTGATCGGGAAGCATCTCGAAAATTAGAGATAAGCAAGTGTATCTTATCTCAAACAATACCGTAAGATCCGGCAAGATTCTTACAGGATCTTACAACGTCCTACTTTATGATCCCACAGGATTCTGTACGATCCTATGAAAATTTTTTAGGATCTTGTAGCAAAATGTCAAAGCCAAAAAATTCTACAAAATCCCACCTGTAAGACCCTGCAGAATCCTATTGTGAGATGGCAGTAGGATTTTATCTGATTTTCTGCCGGTTTATCGTACTAGGTTTATTGTTGTTATTTGTTTAAGTATTCTCTGATTCTCGCTAGCCAGAATCAGGTGGTTCTGAGTCGGGATAAGCCAAAGACTTGTGAGTACTGACTCACACGTCGTCGAACAGTAGCCAGTTTCGATGGCTCCCAGTGTTCGATGCAAAAATTTGAGACTAAAAGAATTTTTCATTTTCTACAGTACAGTAAATTTGTATTTACATTAATGTTGCTGCAAAACACATCGGTGACTGTGTTCTAGTATAGAAAAAGAAAAGAAAATATAAACAGAACGAAAAGTAGGAATTCTACAAAATCTTACTGTAGATTTTGTAAGAAATGCATAAGATTCCTATTACAGAAATCCTATAGAATTTTTGCCACCGTCTATATCAAGATTCTTACCGAAGTTCTGCCGTAGGATTTCATAGGACCTTGCAATAGGAATACTTAACTCAAATTGAAAACGTGTACTTATCTTCAAATGTAGTATAGACTCTTACTCTCTCTATCGATAAAACAATATTTTCTTTAGCAACTTTCGTTCGGTGAGAAAATGTGTGTGTGTGTGAGAAAAAGTATTTTCTTCTACTATACGGTCAATTTTTCGGGACACTCTATCAACGAAACGGTCACACACATCGTTCAAAAAAAAAGAAAATTTTATATCTTTGCAATATTTCCATAACCAAGAGAGCACAAGCACTTCTCATCCTGATTCACACACTCTTCGTCACAAAATGAGACAATCGTGAACTTATGTCATTCTTCCGCTGGAAAAATATAAAGATATGAATTATAAGCGCAAAAAGTGTCAACATCAAGTATTTGATCAAGTTACGTACAATAGCCATGATATTAAACTGTAATTAAATTGACTTACCCATTGCAATTCACTGTGATATAAAATACATCACTAATATCTCCACCACATGTTGCTTTCAAACGATCGCTTACTAATGATGTTCGACCAACACCAGTTTCTCCAACAACCATTACAGGTCGTTCGGATTCAGTTAATGAACTTACCAAATAAGATAATGCCTAAACATAAACACGATTCAATAAATAAACAAGGTAAAAGGAACATAATAAAAATAAAATTTTACCATTGTGTACGGTGTATGAACAAATAAATTTATAGGTATTCCTTGATGTGCTGGTGGATTAAATGCGGGAATTGTATCCGACCACAGAATAAATTGATGTGAATCAATATCATATAACCAATCTGTTATCTAAACAAAATGTTCATAGTTTTTTTAGTATTTTTAATGAACAACAAAAACTATTAAAAATGTCCTACTAATTTTTCTTTTGGAATATTTCGAAATGTGACTCTCCACCAATTATCAAATTCAGGACGACATGATTGATCCATATTAACAACAAATGTCCATAATAGACAAAATTCTGTTATTGAACGAACATCAATTTTTGAACATCTTTCATTTTTAATAAATCCCTAATAAATAGCAGTAAAAAACAACGAGAAAACTCAAATAATTCTGTTTCTTTTTGTTGAATTATTAGTATAAAATGAGATAAAATACCTTGAGTAGAGTAACAACCATGGCTATTTTTGATTCAAAACTAATGTCTAATTGATCAGGATTCGTATTTTGACTACTAATAATTGTTTCATATTCTTGACTTGTATAGATACGATTAGCATATTCAATACATGTTTGTGAAATATTTTTTAATAAATCTTGATCAATCAACGATAAAGATGATGAATTTGAAAATGCAGCTAAAATATGATCACGCCATGTAACAGTTGATTGATCAAAATGTAATAAAATAACACTTGTTAAAATACGTGGACTCAAATTAGAAATATCTTCTAACTATAGAAAATAAAAGAAAAAAAACCATAAAATAACATTATAAAAGAGAAAATTATTCTCATTTACCTCCCAAAATAATTTTGTTCCATATTCTTTTCGTGTTCGATCTCCATTTGGACATTCTAATTTATTTTCAACAAAAAAATGTTCCATCATATTTGAATTATCTACATCTATTCCATCCATATGAATTAATAATGTTTCTGTTTCACCACTATTTAATTTATTTGTATGTTGTTCATGTTTTGATTGATTCTGATTTAATGATGTTGATCGTGTCGAATTTAGTAGACAAGATAAAAGTCCACGATGCCAAAGACCCGTATCATTATTATAAGATGAAAATAATTCTTTTTCGGACCATAATTGAATCATTATTTGATGATAATGAATTTTACCATTGATATAATTCATTGCCTTTGATAATGTTTTAATACACGCAGATTTTCCATATTCACTTTTACCAACAACAAGAATCTAAACATAAATATTATCTCATTCACACTTATTTAGGGCAAAAATTGATATTCAGATGCAATGTGTATCAAATTCAACACAGTTGAAAATCTGTAGGTGCTACTGTCTAACCTTTTCTCTAGACAAAACTTGATTTTTCATCCGAAAAAAGTGTTTATCATTTTTCTTGAAATCACTTTTTCTTAATGTGGCATTTCGTAGTTTCACCATTTCTCCCGTGAGTTTAAATGATGAAAAGTTCGAACTGATTTTATCACAAACGCTCATGTCTAGGACGAGAACAGAGCCTAATTTTTCTTTTTAGTTTTAAAATTACAGTAGGCTTTCTGGAAAGTGTTACATTTGTTTTCTAAATTTTTTGGCTCCTGTTTTTTTGACTTAACCCTAGAACGAACGCATAAGCAAAAAACAAGGCTTCAACTCAAAATTTCAGTTTTTCAATTTAATTTAAAATTTGAAAAGTTCAACTTTTTTTTAAAATGGATGTAGCTCAGCTCAGCTAAGAGATGGAGACTTGGTTTAAATGTGATTAGATAGAGAATTAAAAACTGAACAGACATAGGGGTTTGGTGAGAATACTACGTGGTCAAGGTTTTCTAAGAGATCTTTAGAAAACCAAAAAACTCAAAAAACAACAATATTTGACAGAGTTTTGAGTAGAAATTCATCATTATTCTGTTTCTAGAGCACTACATGCAGTTGCATAACAATCGCTGAAAATAAAGTGTTTATCTGTTTCGTAATAAAACAATATTTTCCATGTCTGGGGTACGCATTAAAAAGAAAGAAAAAAACAAATCCTGTCATACTGTCGGACGCAGGGCACCCGTTATAAGCATTGTGAAAATGATAAAACAATGATGATAAGTAACTTATTTAAAAAGTTTTTCGATCGAGTTATGATGTTTCCCCAGAGAGCATCAGCGTCTTTTCTTTTGCACTAAAAACGCTTTCTTTTAGCAAATTTGCTCTTTTTTTCCTGATCGGTGCTTTCCGAGAAAATATCGTAATTCGGTCGAAAACGGTCGCAGAAATCTGCGAAACGTCTGTTTTTGATAAGAAAAGTCTGCTTTATCTCAATCAAAATGACTTTTAACTAATTTTAAAAAATTTAAAAAGTTTAGGCTTTTTAAATTTTTAAAAGTTCAATTTTTAATTCGATTAAATTTAGATTAGAATTTTTTGATGTGTCTAGTTACTCCAAAGTGCTCTCTACATAAATCTGTCATCGAATATCTTCTAGCTACTTTTGTTCACAAGAAAATCCAGAAATAAAAATGGTCTTAAACTTCTGTTCATTTTTTTCCTAAATTTTGTTACCTGATCGTGTTTATTCACTAGCTCATAGAGTTGCAATATTTTTGTACACATATCGGTATTTGGATTGTATTTATTATCTTCTAATGCCAACTCAATGGCATCGGATATATTCCATACTTTAAATTCTGTTCCACGACGCGTTGTTACATAAAATGGTAATAATTCATTTGTTGTTCCAATATCTAAAATAAAAATTTAATTTGTTATGTAAGCGATATAATCAATCAATTCCAATTCATTCCAAACCTTGTTCATCAATAAATTTTTTCGTTATATGTGGCCATGTTTGTCTGATCAATTTTTTAATAAATAAACTTGAATTTAAATTTGTACATTTAGAAAAATTTGTCATATTCATTAAACTTAATGCAAGTGCATCTTGTTCAATTTGTTCTCGATTTTGTGAATCGTCAGCTATAAAAGTAATGTCTCAGTATAATATTCTATTTATCAAAAGTAATACTTACACTTTGAAAGATATCCATAAGCAAACTGAACAATCATTTTTAATAATTGAGGATTCAACTCTACTTTTGGTAATATCAAACCTAAACAGATGAAACAATGTTTCTTGTCTGTGAATGTACTTTGAAAGGACCATCATAGTTCGAATCAATGGCGTAATCACTGAGTTATCTGGTCTGAACAATGTATGTCAAATCAAAGTATTTATTTACACTTTATGCCTCTAGTCAACGTATACGCTAAACGTCTTGCACAATTTCTTTTACTGGAGCTTGAGAAATTTTCACGGAAAGTAAAGTAAGAATCCCAGATGTTTTTCTTGTGGCCGTCTTCCGGTATCATTAAAATTTTCATAATTATCAATTAAGTTATCGCTCATCACCAGTGGCTCTGGTATTCAGAGTGACTTTCTCTGACATTTTGATGATCACTCACTAAGGAAAAGTTTTCTGAAAAAAATGGGATTTATTTATTTTATTCTTGTTCATGCAAAACAGAATGGTAAATAACTTTCTGATGTCAAAAAACATGTGTGGCCTTTTTCTTGAATTCTCGCGTGCACCCTGCAAGAAATTCTAAAAGATCGTGATATGTTTTGAATATCGAGATTTAGTGAGCTTTCCGCATGGTACACACAGAAAACCCCAGGAGAACGAATGGGATCAAGCGAGAAATCTGTAGAACTTTTTATTTTTGAGGGATATCCTTAGCTTTATTATTCCTGGAACAATTGAAAAAAGCTGTATAGTTTCTCGGTATTGGTTTTCAAGCAGGAGCAAACCTAACGCATTGGTCCTAGATGCGATTTGTCATCGACACATATTTTTCCTTCAAAGCAACATTACACTCTATGTCCCATTACAAAATATGACATCTTTCTATATAAATATATGTCGGTGTACCTTCAGCACTATTTTCTTGAATCATATCAGTAACAGTGTGTACGGCATATGTTAACAAATTAATTAATTGTTTTGATAATTCTGATGAATGCTGGAAACCATACGATGACAAATAACAATAGGTGATATGTTCATAATTTGGTTGAATTATTGACACAATACGAAATGTTTCCAACACAAAACTTGATTGAGATTTTAATGTTAGTGATTCATCACCAGTAGAGTAAAATGTTGAAAAATAATTTTGTTGTTGTGTTTGTGAAAGATTAATCTTAGCATTCATAAAATCAAATGATTTTTCTTGTTTAACAACTGCTGTGTACAACAGTGATGATAATTGACAAAATGAATATAAAGAAACATAAGATAAATGATTTAAACTATTAAAACATGTCCAATCATCTAAACAGAAATAAACAAGAGAGTAAAAAATAGAAGTTAATGTTAAACATTAATACAAGTTCATGAATGAGAAATCTTAGGCACTCAAATCGTCTTTTGCCGATCACGCGTATAAATTCAAACATTTTAACGTGGCAACAAGTTCTGTCAATTCTTCTCATTTCGTCTTATTGGAGTCGCTCGGGAACATCCCGCCTAGCCACTCCCTTGATCTTTTTTTCCACTTTAGTGCCGATTATTACAATAACTAAGAGAGTATATTCAACTGTGATGAACCTCCAAGGCCATCACGAAGCCACAACAATCACTATTAACGAAAAAGCACATTCATGGTTATTCATTCACCCATCACTCAAGAACAAAGACATTTTTAGCTACGAAGCGCCCATTGGCGTCAGGCCTGTACGACATACTTTCAAAATCATCTACTCTGCCAATTCAAGTGCCAGATCAGAGGCTACATACGTTACGCCGTAGTCGATCAAGCGTACAGCTGGACATCACACATGCCCTGTACGACCTAGTTTTTCTCATTTATATACTTTTTGTATTATTTTAGTGCATTAACAAGTGCCCAGAGTCACTAACTAACATCTCTATCATGAATTCGCTAAACATGAAGTATTATTTTAAAAAAAGATGGATCTAAACTTACCGCTCAAGCATAATCCTTGAAAATAATTTACAATTGTTTGAGAAGTTGTATTATTGTTACACTGTAAATGAAATGTTGATCGACCAACACAAGCCGATAACAGATCAATTAAATATCGACCCTAAAAATGAATTGATATTTTGTTATTGTTTCATTCAAAACTGATTTCATACATTATTGTTGAATACTAATGTGCCTGCCGGCAAACCAATACTAAGAAATAGAGGAGCAATAAAATTGTATTCATTTGGTGTAAATAAATCGGATACATTTGAACATAGATCGTTATTATAAACCATTGTTTTTTGAAAACACTAACAAAAAAAAAGAATAGAATTCAAAAAATGGATATGTAAAAGTGTAAAAATAAAGAACATATTTGTTTGTTTACCTTGATATTAATTTGTTTATCATTTTGATTGTGATAATAGCGTAATGTCACTAGCCATTCGTATGAATCAATTTTAACTGTTTGATTTTCATTCATTGTACGTATTTGAACAATGTAGGATGAAATCAAATTAAGTATTTGTAATAATTTATCAATTTGTTGTCTTGTTAATAATAAATATCGATTATCGAGTTGAATATTCTCTTTTACTAGTTCATCTGTAGTTGCTGTTGGAGGTGGTTGTATCATGTCTGAATTTTCTTGATCTGGATTTTTATCAGTTTTTTCTTCAACTTTCGATGTTGTTTCAGTCGTTATTGATACAACAGCTGCATTTTGTTGCACTAAGAATTAAAAAATAAAATATACTAGTTTTTAAATAGTTCATGATCAGTTTTAAAGTACTCGATGTTCGACGTAATATTTCGCTTAATTGTCCTAGAATTTGATTGGCAAATGACGATAATTTCTTAAAAACAAAAGAGAATCATTTTACAATAAAAATGAAGTGTTTTTTTTTGACGACTTTAGTGTACCTCTAAATCTTGCTGTTGTGTTTTATTTAGGGCATTTTCAATTAATGTTGTAAATAGAATCTTTAATGTGAGAACAACAGCTTGTCCTGGATTATCGAACAACCAATTTATAAAATTAAATGTTTGTTTTTCACCAGGAATCATCAGATCTAAATGAGAAGAATTGTTGTTAAATGATGAACTTCAATTTGGAAGATGAGGTACCAACCTACCATTAATACAACGATCGATTGCTTCTTTTATTGACAATTTCACTTGACCAACGAGTTTCTCGACAAATTGTTCTACATTATTTTCAAATAGTAATTTCTAAAAAAGAAACAAAGGATATCAGAAGGTTGCATATGCCTGAGTGACGTCCGACATAGATGATGATTTACACTCTCATTAACACTAAGAGTTCCCATCTCTCTTTTTTGAAAAATTTTCGGATTTGAGATGAGCATAGCCTTATTAATAGAGAGGAAAGACTGAGCTACAAAATAACACCACTTCCAGCGTTCCATGACCTTTATTTTGAAAAGTCACGAATTTTTTTTAAAGTTTTTGCTAAAAAACCAAAAGTCTCATTATTTTGGCCTCTCAAAGTTCTCACACGTTTCTCGTGTTCTGAAATGTTTTTCTCTTACATAGTTTGGTAGAGCAAAGTCCTCTTCACAATGAGACATCTCACAAAATTTGTCGATATTTTTTCGCAGAGATATAAGTAAACATTGGTGCAGATGGGTCGAAAAGAGTAACCTGTCTAGCGATATCTGTAACGTTCATCACACTAATGGTTCCAATGACTTTCGTCCGATCGAGCTCAAAATGTTATTCTAGTTACTAAGGCCTAAGGCCTAATCATCGAAAGGAAAGAACAGAGAAAATTTTTTGTGTCAGTAATTGATCTCTGGACAGAATTTAAAGAAGTAGTCAGTGCTGAGAAGCATTACACTGACATAGATAGATGTATAGACAGACACTCTACTAAATCATCTTATTTTAGTAATCTAAATTCTATTATAAAATTATTTTATAGGGACTACTAGTTTTACTTTGCATACATTTATATTACTATCCATTCCAAAATGGAATGATCGCGAATGCTTTGTGAATAACTTTTGCATGGAAAGAGCTAGAGAGCTTCGATCTTCAGTATTAGATAGAGGACACTTTGGGACATAATTCGACGAACAAATTGGATTTCGCGAAAGGTCTACCATGGTGTACCTTTTGCTTGAAAATCTAGAACATACCGCGAAAACAAGATGGATTTTGACTCCTAAGAGAGCGATTTGAACCATCGGACTTCGTTCTACAAAACTACGCCAGTTTCAAGCTTCCATCTACCACGGTTCGTACGCTATAAGGTGTTTTCGGGGACCCATCACCTATCAACTAAACTTCATGTTTGGGAACTTCCAAAACACATGGAACGTAGGTTATTGACCACGCTGAATCTCGCGAAAATGTTTGCTTTCCGAAAAAGCTTTCAAAAGCTAGTGGAAACCTATACTAGACGAAATAATCCATTTTTCACTACTTACACCAAAAATATAAAAATTCATAACTCAGTCAAAATTATTTCTACTATAGAACAGGATAAAGCAAATAAAACCGAGTATACGTTGATATTTTGAAGCAGGCTGAAATAATTTTGACTGAGTTATGATTTTTTTAATTTTTTGGTCAGATAGTGAAAAATGGATTATTTCGTCTCGTATAGGATTTCGCTAGTTTTGGAAATTTTTTTCGAAAAACAAACATTGTCATAAGATTCAGTGTGATCAATAACCTATGTTCCATATGATTTGGAAAGCTATTCAAAAAATATCCGCGGCCATTCTGTTTTAAAATGAGTGGTAGTTTATACTTAATTTCAAACACATTAGCCTTGAAGAGCGAATGTGTAATAAAGTGCTCATTCTCAAAAACTACTATTTTGAAATATTTGTTCTAAGTTTTTTTTTAGCATCTATTTGATGAAGTTTACCGAGGATCATAATGAACATCAATAGAAGACCCGAGTTTTCCAGAAAACTCATAGAAGAAGAAATTACATAGATTTTCATTTATGATACTCTATCTCTAGTGATAGTTTAGGCTTAACCAGACTTCACTTGCACCTTTCCCAATAAAGTGAAAAAAGAGGAGAAAATGATGTACCATTAAGCCTATAAACAATACGATAAACTACGTTTGAAGGACGCTATTTACTTGTGAGAAAAGGACTTTTTCATTTCCGTCGTATGTGATATAACCGATGGCTTCTTCCTTAGTAATACTCGTTTCGTTTGAAAATATAATTTGTCCAATTCCCGGTATGACTTTTGATAATGGAAATCCAATTGATCGTATATCATTCACTAAAAAATTATGTAACAGTTAATATCATTACTGTTAACAAAGCAAATGTAAGAACAAACCACATGTAAGTAATTGACATAATTCATCATCGGACAGATAATAAAATCTTGATACATTTCGTTTGGATTGGTTTAAATATAATATATAAGCATTTTGACATTTAACAAATTGACTAGACAAATATTTTAACATGTTTAGAATATCTATAAATAGACACGATTAATTAGAATATTACGATTAACAGAGATTTAAGCGATCTCTCATACAAACACATATGTTCTGCTGCAACTTTGAGCTTCTTGAAACTTATTCGCTTCCTTCTACTGTAGTTGAACTTGTTCAAAAATTGACTTTGTATATCAGATATTGTCTTGTTATTATAACATTTTGTTAAACTAAGTTTCATCTCGTATATTTTAAACTTTTTTAATTGTTCTCATTCCGCTCACTCTCATTACCCTCGCCACACAAACATTTCAATGAGAAGTGTAAAATCTATTCTCAAGAACCGTCACATTAACAAATCTCAAATGTTAATCGCTCAAAACGTCAGTTCACGGTAGATCATAGCAAAAGTAAAATTTTTAATGATTACTTACTTTTTTTTTGACAACATTTTAGAACATTGTTATTTTTTCCGACTGACACCATTAATGCTTTAAAATCTCGATCACATCTAACAAATTTTGGTGTCTCAGATGATAGTTGAGTTTGAATTGTATGATCGGTATAGATCTACAAAGATAACATAATCATATCATCTATATAATTTATGTTCGTAATATACTGACCGGTTCTAATTCTAACCATAATTTTTGTACATAATTCCATTCTTTAAGTACAGCTTCAATATTTTGTAATATTAGCTGCCATTTTGCAATTTCATCTAAAAATGATCCAGCCGATTGATTTGTTTGTAACATTTCTAAAACTAATTGATGATCTTCAATTTCTTCAAATAATGATTTTAAATCAGATAATAAATATAAACGATCAGACAACTATCAAATAAAAGACATTATTATTATATTATTAAGTCAAATAGACAGAAGACATACATTTGTATCGATATTAAGTAATGATTGTGATAATGAACCAATACTTGCACGACTTTTGACAATAGTTTTCGATACTGATGTCACTGCTGAATGTCTTGATGGTTCGGTAAGAGAGTTCTAAAAGAAAAAACGTATTTTAATTCAATATGAGAGAAGAAGATCTAACAATAATGGTGTACTTGTTTTGTATCGGCTATGGATTTACTATCTGTGTTCGGTGTTCCCACTTTTGGTGCCGTATATTTACCAAATAATATTAATTCAAATGTTTTACTTAACCATATTTCTTCATAAGATTTTAATGTTGTTTCTAATTGAAAATCTTTTTCAGCACGTTTCACCGTTGCTCGTATATCCTCAGCATGATCTAGACAAGTTCAAACACAGTCATAAAAACTGAAACATTTTTTCATATTAATTACAGTGGACAGAAAAAGTGATGATACACTTTTATTTTTTGATGTTTCGCCTCAGGACAAATCTGAAAAGAGATCTGAACAACTGAAAGAGTTTCCCATCTGAAGATGTGTGTGTCAGAATTCTGTCAGAGGTACTATAAACAGGGGGATTTCAGGAAATGCAGGATACTAGAACACCTGATCAGGGTTTCCGATTGTTCTCAGGGATGGGAGAGGCTAAAACGTTTTCTTCGCAGAAAGTGGATGGCGAAAAAAAGTCATCTAAACCCTAGTGAATGTACTTGAGATCAAATACTACTACCAGAGTAACTGGAGGTTTTTGCAGGTAAAAAAGGTACTTATGAAGTAATTTAACAAGTATAAGTACTAGATAAGTACTTCATCAAGTATTTGCTAGGTAACCCGATAAGTACTTGTGAAATATATGTAAGTAGCCGAAGTTCTTCCAAGTATTGGGCATGTATTAAATCTAACAATGCTTGACAAGTGCTTAATCAAATACTTTAGAAAATTTGCGAGTAGCTAAAGCTAAATGCTTGATCTCAAGTACATTCACTTGGGAAGTTTTGGTAGAAAGTTGCTTGTGGAAAAGTGTCAAAGATTTTGCCAGAAAGTCCAATAAAGTTTTTAAGGAGGTGCCAGCCCCTCTCAACGGGACGCCTACACCTGATAACAGAGTTTAATTATTTTTTTTTAGCAAACTACATGCAATTTATGAAAGGTCGTGAAAAGCCAGGAGATATCTCATTATATTCAGATTGATTATTTATAAAAAAACTGACTAATTAAATTCAGATACCTGATGTTCTAACTTAATTCAGATGTTCTACTTAGTACCCTGGGGCCTGTTTCTCAAAAAAACTTAAGTATAATTTCCTGTTTACTTAAGTGAAATTATTTACTTAAGTAAAACTTAAGTTTTTTCGAGAAACAGGCCGCACTTAGGTTGTTTTGAGAAACAGGCCCCTGGTTTTCTCGAAATCCTGTTTATAGTAACTCTGACAGAATTCTGATGCACACATCTGCACATAGGAAACTCTTTCAGTTGTTCAAATTTCTTATCAGATTTGTTCTAGTTATTATGGCCGAGGAGAAAGATCAAAAATAAGTGTGTATGATTATTTTTCTCTATTCACTGCATTTGTTTTACCTTGAAATCCTAGTTTAAATAACTGTCCGAATGTCAATTGTCTAAATGAATCGCTATCCATGAGACTATTTCCACCAGTTAAACGAATAAGTTGTTTCCAATGACGTGTACGAAGTGCTGGATTTGATAAATCATCGAGTAATTGAGCACAAATCTACATAGAAATGAGCATGAAGTTCATAGAACAATGATAAGAATTGGTGATTACTTTAATTCGTTTAATTTCATCTTCAGTTCCGGTGTATACTTCCCAATTTCGGACTAGTTTTGGTAACATGATTAATTGATCATTATCTTTGTCACACGATGCTAAAACTTCTTTACTATTCAAACGTTGCCACTGTTCATTTTTAATATGTTCAAAATGGCGACGAATATCTCTGCAAAAGTAGACAAAATGAGTGATATAATCTTCTCAATAAGATATAAATTATTAGCAACAGTATAGGGTTTAATTGACATAGAAAAATCTCAGATTTTTGCAAGGGAATAAAACGTTGACATTTAAAGCTAAAACGAAAGCTGCATTCAACAATTTAAAAGATAATCTTTATTTCTTTTTTTAATCAGACAAAATATTAGTTCTAATTCCCATTTAGATGCACTAAAATAGTTATAAATCATGCTAGATGATAATCTATATGCATAGGGTTCATGCAGCTAATTTAAGTTGAAATGACTAGGAGCAAAAGCACATAGACGAGCATAAAATAATGAAGAATCTTACCTGTTAAAGAATTATTACTAAAATGATAGATTTTAACTACAAATATGTTAAGGGGGAAAAAAATGTCATATTATTTTTTGATTTTAAGAGGAAATCAAAACAATCATTTTATACTCATACTCTATTGACGAGATGCATTCTCTATTTTAGTAATAACAATAAAATTACACGTTCAAATTTCAGAAGTCATTCGTATAACTACTCACCGTACTGTTTTCCATGTCATTCTTAAATTTCTTAGTGTATCTCTAACATCATTTAACTTTGTAAAATCGACAATATTCACATTTAATAGTGATTGTAATTGTTTATAATCGGCTGCTTGTTTATCCAATTGTTTGTAACGATTTTGATAATCATTTAATAAATCTTGACAATCATCATAAAGAATTTTATATGAAAAAATTCTTGATAATGACATATCGACACGTAATTGTTCAATATGAGATGCAAATTTTTCTAAGTCCTAAAATATATAGATTTTCAACATATAGGAGAAGAAAAATTATAATTTTTTACTTACTTTTGTTATAATAGTTGATTCTTCTTGTAATGTTGGTCCTAATCTTTGTTTTGCTTGCATAACTTTTGTTTTTAAATTTTGCCAACGTTGAATTGTTGAATTATATAGACTATTTAATTCGGTTGTATCTGATGGAGAATATGTTTTTAATATAGATAATGTACGACGCATCAATTCAAATTTAACTTCAACTTCTTGTTGTTTTGATGAAACCTAATAAAAATATAAAAATTAAAAGTTAATTAAATCTTATCTGACAACTGATTTCAATACTGACCGAGTTAAATAATCTCATTATTTTCATAAATGTTGCTGTATCACGTTCAAGTCCAGTTATACTTTCAATCTCAGGTTCCATTTGTTTTAGAAATACGTCCAATTCATCTAACGATTGTTTGGTCTAAATAGAAATATTCGTGGTGCATATGTTACCAATTTAAATTAGAATAGTGTCTGCCATATTTGTTTTGAATAACTTTTGAACGAAAAATGATAGAGGCGTATGTGTTTTCGCTGTTCGATGGAGGAGGTCAAGATGTATCTTTTTGTAAGCAAAACAAGTTTTTAAATCCTTTTCGAAAGACGGATGTTGAGAGGATCTTTGGAAAAGATAATTCTTTGCTTATAGCATTTGTTTTTTTTCTCAAGAAGATAAGCCAAATTGTACTCTGCAAAATGAAAGTCAAGTGAGATCTCGATTTTGAATGGTTCGCATGTAGCATCAGATATCCTTAGAGTCTTAGGATTTGATACCCAGTGACTTGAAGTAACCTTGAAATCATATAGGACATTTTCAAAAAGCAAAATTTCAAGGTTATTTCCATTTAACACTAAAAAATTCATAACTCGACATCAGAACAAATTGAAAATCATAGGATATAGTTAATTTCAGGATTGGGCGAGTCCGAGTCCAAAATCAAAGATTTTTCAGTGGACTTGAACTGGAGATTTTTTTGAAGGACTCGATCTCGAACTTGAGCTTTTATATTTCAAGTCCGATCGATTCAACTTTTAACATAAATAAACAGAGAAATTTGCATTTTTTCAATAATAGTATGCAATATCCAGACGCACACGTGTTTGATAAAATTATTGGACTTGAAATGGACTTATGATTCAGACTCGATTTGTTCGCTTTATGACTTGGACTCAGAAGCCACTGGATTCGACCCAGCTCTGGTTAATTTTGTCCGGTAAAGTTAATTATGCGATAAAAAAATTGAAATATCATGATTTTGTACAAAAAACTTTTAGAACTTTTAGGATTGTGAGTTTTGGTATAATATTAAAAATATAATTAATTGAAAATAGTCTTTCATGGATTTCTTATCAACGGAATATACAGAGTTGTGCATAACCTTTTGCTAGGGGGGGGAGGGGTACAGCTCCAACGATAAATGATATAAAGATGAATTATATACCAAATGAAAGATCATTGAAAACAGGGTTATCGAGTATAACTGGTAATCTGTAGGTTGATTATGAGCTATAGAATTATGGACGTTTCTAGCGGGTGCGTCATAATGAAGGAGCCTCTTAGTATTTAATATTTTTCTCATGTTCCTTTACGATCCTAAGATTAGTGGGTTGTTTTTAAAAGATGCGCCACGAAATGCTCTACAAAATCATACCTAAACTTTAGTTTTAGAACTTCAATCAAGAGGACTAGATAAATTATACAAAAGGCGAAAAAACTGAAAACTTTGTATTTTTTCAAGCAACTTTTTTCTTCTGCTATCATTTCCGTAAAAAGTGGTCTGTAAAAAAAAAGTTTTAAATCAGATGATGTGCTGGAGGACGAAGTTTCAAAAATGTCTCCCCGTTTTCAACAATGTGCCCAAGCAAAAGACAGAAAACACGATCGAAGTTTTAATTTTACAGTTAGGTAGTGAAGAACCAACATTTCTGATCAAAACAAAATAAACCCGATGGAAAAAGCTTTTGTTCTAATGAAGTTATGGAACTTTTACTGAAAGCACTACTATACCCAGAATTGACACACCCGCTAGAAACGTCCATAATTCTATAACTCATAATCAACATATGGATTACTGGTTATACTCGATAATCCCGTTTTCAATGACCTTTCATTTGGTATATAATTCATTTTTATATCATTTGTCGTTGGAGCTGTACCTCCCTAGCAAAAGGTTATGCACAACCACGTAGAATAGTATATCATTTTTCATTTAAAAGTTATTTAAAATATAGCAGACTTCATTTGAATTTGAAAAAGACAGTTATACTGAATAATTACAAACCTGATTATGAATATATTCACAAAATTTCCATAACCATTTATGTGCTAAACTTGATAATGTTTGTTTAATTGGTCGTAAATCAATTCGTACCCAATTTACATCCCAATAATCTTGTAATGCTTCCAGATCATTTCGACAAGCCTAAACAATAGAAAATAATAATTTCTACAAATATTTTGATGTAATTTAAAGTTTACTTCGTATATTTTCATTTCATTTTCAAATTCTTCAAGTAATGGAACACGTAATAGATCATTTTTATCCGTTGATGAACATAGAAAAGAACGTTCAACTTGATCAATTAACTCTGGTGTTGGCATACTTATCATTGATGCAGCACTCCTATAATAACGATAAACTATTAGCAAAAGATTTGTTTTTTTTCTGTGACAAAAGAATCAAATGGTTATCTCATCATTGTATAACCAAGTGATTCACAGGTGTATTACATTTATCAAATAATGAGGTGCTTTCATAACACAGGAAAGTGAAATCAAATTCTTGATCATTAAGTTCTCCCTCCCCACGAGCTCGAAATCTATTTCAATAATGATAAACTGGATCTTGCCAAATTTTTATATTCATTTCAAGTTCTCTAACATCTACCTCAAAGAAAAATGTGGAAAATACGAAAAAAAAAATAATTTTGAGAGGGGAGTTTGTAGCAAAATGCTTGTAACGTTTTTTTAACACAACGTTGTGCTATATTCCTTTTTAATCAAAAATTGTTGCTCTAGAAATCTAGACATTCAGAATGTGTAAAACTTCGAAAGAAGACATTTTACGCTATTTGATCTCATGTATTTTTCTCAAGTTTGCCTCTTCTCAACCCGGAGTAGGGCTTCAGTGATAAAAATAACATCACAGATTCGTCAGAAAAACGTCTTCATTAGCAAATAGATGAACAGAGTAGTAACAGAGAGGGCATGTCAATTAATAGACATATTTTTGTGACTGAGAGAGTGGATCTGATAAGGAAACACGAGAAAATAAAATATAGATCTCGACCAGGCATTGAATCTAGTTGACATTGAATCTCTAGTTTCAACGTTCTAAGCTAGAAAGTTCGACATAATTATACAAGATTCAAACAGACTTGAAAGAATATAATTCGATTGTACTTTGTAGCTTAGAAGTGAGAGCATTGACTTCCAATCTTAGATTCAACTTCCGATTGATGTCACTATTTTCATTTCTCCTATATTTTCTTAACTAAGTGAGAAAAACTTAAAATATATTTCATCAATATCAAATGAAATATTTTTCAAGTCGAACACCTATGTATTGTTGTGTACGATTGAGATTTTCTTTGGGTATAAGAGCGTCCCATTTGAAAGAGTCATCAAATTTCTAATATTAATAATATTAAAACTAAACAAATCAACATTTCCAGTTTGATTCGGTGACATATAATTGCTTTACAAACCTTCTACTAAAGCTGAGATAGGATCGGCTGAAATAAAATTGTACAGGGTTGCGAGAAATGTTTTGCCCTCGGGGTATAGCTCCAATGACAAATGATATCAATATTGAATTTTATACCAAATGAAAGCTCGTGAAAAATGGGGTTAACAGGTATAGTTGGTAATGTGATCGATAGTCATTGACTATAGGTTTACTGAA